CTATCTATCTATCTATCTATCTATCTATCTATCTATCTATCTATCTATCTATCTATCTATCTTATCTATCTATCTATTTTTTTCCTCCAAAGTTACTGAGGGTAAAAAAAGAAGCAAAGGGGGAAAGCTCATTAGAAAGAAATCCAACTGGAACTAGGAAGAAACTTTCCAACAGCAAGAACAATTAACCAATGGGATAGTTTGCCTACTGGAGTTGTGCATGAAACACCACCGGAGGTTTTCAGGAAAAGATTGGGATGGCATAAGGTCTTCTGCAGGGGATTGAACTAGAAAACCTCCAAGGTCCCTCCCAGTCTCATGATTCTAGGATTACTTTTTAAGATTGTATTAGTTGTTATTGCAATTATTTACTTATATATCAATCAAATTTATATAGCAGCTCATCTCACCACAGCCAACTCTGAATGGTGAAAAAGAAGCAACATGAATAATAATTTAAACAATAATTGTACAATATATGGAACCTTATTAATACCATAAAAGTGAAAATGTAAACCCTAGGAGAAGGATAAAAATGGTCACCTCAACAATGGAGCCATCTGAGCTGATCCCTGTCATCTGGGAACCACAGGCCTGACAACACAACCAAGGCCTGAGGGCTTTTCAGAATACCAAAATGGATGGAGCTAGTCTAATTTTGGAGGGAAAAATGTTCCATAAGGCGCACAAAGAAGGTACATCTCTTGGGACTCATCAAATGAATTTTCTTGGCCAATGATGCCTACTCTGCCAGGATTAGTTGGTTTTATGCCATGAAAGGCTTTAAAGATTAAAATCAGCACTTTCAATTGAACCTGAAAGCAAACTGGCAACAAATGTAATTCATGGAGCACAGGTATGACATGCATGACTCTAGGAGTTCACACAGCTGCTTGCACTACTGCATTCTGTACCAACTGAAGCTTCCAGATGCTGTATAATTTATAAAATAAATTATAATCTTAAATGAAATTGTTTTTTTTTTAAGGAAAAAATCTTTAAATAAAGAATATTTATAAAGAGCCTTTTTTCTGCTTCTCAGCAGAGTGTGGTTAGCCAACATCTTTCAGCGCTTGCTACCACTCTAGATAAAAGCTCTTTAACATTGCTATGTAGAAGAGCCCTCAGCCCCTGTAAAATGGCTACTGAGTGGCTTTTCATCTCTGCCTTTATTGCATTTATGGAGAGCAAATGTGGAAGAGATAAATTATGTAATTTGCAGGCATTGTACAGAAAGCAATTTTCTATGTTTCCACTTAGATCAGGGTGTTGGAGGGGAAGAAAAAAACAGTCCCCAAGTCCTGAAAGTTTCAAGACCCCTGTTTCAATTTTGCTTCATCATTAAATAGCTATGCATGCTGCACAGACTGTGCCAGGCCTAGCAGCATCCCATACAGATGTGCTAACGGTTTGCAACTTGTGTTAACAGCAACTAAACATTTATATCAATTTTACTGTTCATATTTTCCAGATTTCTATTATTTGACTCAAGTTTAAAAGTTAACCTGA